AGAAGGAGGGACAGGAGGTTCCCCTAAAATTCCCTGGGGAAACCCATCACGAGGCAGCTGAGCCCCTGTAGCCCATGGAGAGCCACGAGGGTGCAGAGATCCACCTGCAGCCCAGGGAGGAGCCCATACCGGAGCAAGGGAATGTCCAAGACAGACTGTGACCCCCTGAGAAGCCCGTGCTGGAGCATGTTGGCTGGAAGGAAACCTGCAAACTCGCCAAGGTAAGTGCTACATACTGACAGTGGTAGAAACAACCACTGGATGGCTGGAGACACACCTCACAGTACTGCCCAGAACACCATCCTGGGGCCTTGAAAAGCAATTCCCGTGGTGACATGGCCCCCAGAGAGAATTGAGTTGGACAACAAGACACATTTCAAAAACAGCCTTATAGACCCCTGGGCCAGAGAGTACAGGACTGAGTGGGTGTATCATATCTCCTATCATGTCCCAGCCTCTGGGGGAATGAACAGCACAATGGACTGTTAAAAACCATATTGAAAACAATGGCTGGTGGGACCTTCAAACACTGGGATCTACATTTAGCCAAGGCCACCTGGTCAGTTAACACTAGAGGCTCCACCGATCGAGCTGGCCCTGCTCAGTCAGAACCTCCATAAAAAGGGATAAAGTCCCCGTGGTGTATATGAAAAATGTGTTAGGGAAGACAGCTTGCATTATTCCTGCCTCAATCAAAGGCAAACCCATCTGTGGAATTGTTTTTACTCAAGGACCTGAATGCATTTGGTGGGTTCAGGACAAGGACAAGGATAAATGATGTGTGCCTCAAGGGGATTTGATTTTTGTGTGACAACAGTCTGTAATGTTGAATTGTATAATATTAGTTGCTGAATGACACTGCCAATTTGTGCCATAACTACCATGGACAATGAGGATGGACTGCTCCATTTACACCAGTCATGGACTAAACGACTCAACATGATGACATCTTGGATGGGGACAGTCAATAGCTACCTCTCCTTGTGTATGTACATATGTATATAGTTGGAAATTATACGATCTTGGCATGATGTAGATGGAATAGAAGAAGGGGTGGATAATGTGCTGATTGCAGAGAGGTGGCAGAGCTTAGGGCTGTGTTGTTATTCTATACTTACCCACGTCATCACTGGGGGCCGTGGTGTAGGGAGGAAAAAACAGGTGCCCTACTGGAGGTGTGCCATTTTGCGTGCCTCTGGGAGCATCTGCCCCTGCGGACCCAGCCCCCCCTGCCCCGCCCATCCCCCTCCCATTTTTCCCTGGAACTCACCTACAGGACATGGTGCTGAAAGGACAGCGCCGAAACGCAAATCGACACGTGTTGAATGGCAGCTTTTGTGGGGTTTGTTTGTCATCGCTTTCTGTTATTTCAGGCATGGGGGCGAGAAATGCTAATGGCCATCTTGCCATCTTGCCTTTTTTCCCGTCGGCCACATGGGCGACACCGCGTATTGCCTTTATCTGGGGATGCCATGTGGACGCGACCTACCATCTTTGGTTCTTTTCAGTGGTGAACATCTCTTTTGGGGTAAAACACCTTCTCTTTTGTATACTTTTGCTATTAATACTGCTGCTGTTGTTGTGTACGTTTTACTCCATTGCTTTGTGCTTTCAGTACATTGTTATCTCAACGTGCAGTCTGAGTTTTTGTCCCTCCCTTAACGAGAAGGGGCAGGGGAAGGGCCGTGGCTTATTTGGAGTTTAATTTCCAGCTGACATTAAACCAACACACCCTCTCTCACCTGCCCTTGCCTTGCCCCCTCCCTTGCCGCTGCGCCCAATTGGGCATCTGGTTCGGCAGGGGAAGGGGCGGGCAGGGGTGAGGGTCTGTCCACCGGGTGTCTGCGTCGGGGCCAGCGCTGTTCTCTCCTCCTCTCCCCACCACTCCTTCCTCGGGACTGTGGGTCGGGGAGGGGCTCTGTTCCCCCCAACCCTCACCAATTCCCTCACGTCCCTCTCCCTTGGAATGTTGCTCTGGGGAGGGCGCTCTCCTCTCCTCCCGCCCTCAACACCTTCAAGCCAATCAGAACGCTGTTTCATTATGACTCATCAGTTGCCAGGCAGACTAGCAGAACCCAGCCCACACAATAAACCAATCAGAATGCGCCTCGCCCATGACTCAGTTACCAGGCGGAGCAGCGCCCAGTCCCTCTCGGCCAATCAGAGCGCGCCCTGATGACGTCTCCTCAGTTGCCGGCCCGCCCACGGACGAACAGACCCTAACCCTGAGCGCTGCGACCCCGGGACAGGGCTGTGTGGAGGGGCGGAGTGGAGACCGCCCAGCCCGGGACCCCCCAGTGCTGTCCCGAGGGTCGCGGCTGTGCCAAGTGCCGAGTGTGGCCAGTCAGAGTCGGAGCGGGGCTGCAGCTTCCCGGAGTTCCGGAGGTTTTGTGGAGGGGTCCCAGGAAGCGCCGGGACTGGCGGGGTGGGGTCAAAAGTGTAACTTTTATTGGAAGGAGGTAAATGGTGCCAGTGACACTCCCCACTGCAGTGACCCTGGCATTGGGTGGGGGGACCCAGGCGTCTGGGGTGTTGAATGGGGAGACCCAGAGGTCAGGAGGGGACAGGGGGGGTGACGTGGAGTCAGGTGTGATTAGTAAGGGTCAAGTGGGTAGGGATGGGGTCACGCAGGGTTCAGGCTGGGAGAGAAGGGGGTGGGCCGAGTCACAGCCTGGGTCGTGGCCGGTGTCATAGTGAGGCCAAGGACTGGCAGGGGTCAGACCAGGGTCACAGCCAGGCCAGGGAGGGGTCAGGGTCAGGTGGGGTCAGTCAAGGGGCCGAGGTCACATATAGGTCAGGTATGTTCAGGAAGGGTCAGAAAGAGCCGGGTGGATCACAGAGTATTCAGGAAGTCACGCAGCCCAGGGTTATGGTGAGCCCGGGGTCTGGCAAGGCACCATGCGCAGACGAAAGGGGGGGCAGCGCAGCACGGTGCCTGGAGACCCCCCAAGTCCAGGCAGTCCCCCCGGGCCCGGCTCCAGCCGGAATTCCCGCAGGATCATCCCCAGGAACACGAAGAGCTCGGCCCGCGCCAGCGCCTCTCCCGGGCACGATCGCGCCCCGCAGCCAAACGGCAGCAACGACCGCCAGGGAGCACCCGGGGACAGGAACCGCTCTGGGGGAGGCGGGGACAGCTTTGGGGGATCCTCGGGGATCGGGGGACACACAGATTCGGGGGGCCTCCATGGGGATGGGGGAGACACACAGGTTTGGTGGGGAGTGCGAGGATGGGAGGATCCAGGAGTTTGGGGTGGACCCACAGATTTGTCAGAAACCCCAGGGGTTCAGGATGGACGCTGGGGTTCAGGACGAGGGCACAGGGGTTTGGAGGATGACCCAAGGGGGGTGGGGGAGACCCACATGTTTGGGGAGGGGACGGACACCTGAGGGAAGTCCAGGGCCTCAAGGGGGAACCAGAGGGAGCCACAGGTTTTGGAGAGTACCCAGAGGTATGGGGAGAACCCAGGGGGATGGAGGACCCACATGTTCGGGGGAGGCCCTAGGTTGGACTGGACCCAGGGGTCTGGGGGGACCCAGGGAATAAGGGGACTAGGAGGGGATGGGGGGTTGGGTAGGGAGAACCCCAGGGTTTTGGGAGGGCCCCAGGGGTGCAGGGGTACCCACATACCAGGCAGGAAGGCCTCAGGTTGCTGCCAGATGACAGGGTCCTGCTGGGCTGCCAGCAGGTTGGGGACCAGGATGGTGCCAGCCACTATGGGGAGCCCTCCAAGACTGGGGGGGACAGGGGGGGCACCGAGATGGACTGGGGTCTGCTGTGGGCTCTGCTGAGGGCTACTGAGAGCTACTGGGGCCATACTGGGACCTGCTGGTGCCATAGCGGAACCTACTGAGGTCATACAAGGACCTGCTGGGGCCATACTGAGGCTCTCTGGGGGTTACTGGATGCTTATTGGGGTCTAATGGGGCCACACTTCGACTTATTTGGGCCTTACTGGGATCTACTGGGTGTCTCTCAGGGTCTACTACAGTCATTCTGGGACCAGTTGGGGCCTACTGGGACGTACTGGGGTCATACTGGGACCTGATGGGTCTTACTAGAATTTATTGGGTTCTACTGGGATTTACTGGGTTCTCCTGGGCCCTACTGGTGATGCTGAGTGGTCCCTATTGGCATGTAGTGGTTCCTCCCAGTTCCCCCTCAGCCATGCCGGTCCTGACCGAGTCCTCCTGGGCACAACTGGGACCTACTGAGGCCTACTGGGCCCTACAAGGACTTAATAAACCATACTGGTCTTTTGGCATCCACTGGGGTTTACTGGGCCCTTCTGGGCCCTGCTGGGAGTAACTGGGACCTGATGGGTCTGTTTGGGTCTTTTGGCATCCACTGGGGTTTACTGGGCCCTTCTGGGCCCTGCTGGGAGTAACTGGGACCTGATGGGTCTGTTTGGGTCTACTGGGGCCATACTGGGACCTGAGGGGCCTTACTGGGCTCTGCTGCAGTCTAGTGGGCTCTACTGGGACTTAGTGGGGTCTCCTGGGCCCTACTGTGTTCTCCTGGGTTCTACTGATGATGTCAAGTGGTCCCTACTTGTCTGCAGTGGTTCCCCCTGGTTCCCCCTCAGCCAGACTGGTCCAGACTGGTCCCCAGCAGTTCCTCACCCCCCCCTCCCCAGGCTGGCCGGTGCAGGCTGTGCTGTGTGTACCTGGTGTGGCGCAGGGCGCAGTGGGGCAGCCCCAGGGGCGCAGGGGGCCGCAGCCGCAGGGTCTCGCTGACAGTGGCCTGAAGGAGGGGCAGGCGTCCCACGTCCCCCGGCCCGGGGGGACCCTGCACCCTCCCCAGCTCCTCCCGCAGCCGCACCTGCAGCTGCACGGGTGGGGCACAGGTGGGCACGAGTGTGTCATGTCTGTCACGGGGCACTGAGGGAGGGGGCACCCAGGGGGCACACAGTGGCAACAGGGTGACAGAGGGACCCTCCTGAACCCCAGACCCCCCCCACAAACCTGTCCCTGGGATTCCAAGTCCTCCAAAGCCTCCCCCTGCCTTGGGGACCCCCATGAACCCCCATACTCCCCAAACCTGCTCCTGGGACCCCAAACTTGCCCCTCTCCCAGTCTTGGGGACCCCATGAACCCCCAGGCCATGCTCAAGCCCCCAAACTTGCCCTGGGACTTCCAGACCCCACCTCCAAACCTACCTCTCCCTCTGCCTTGGAGATGCCCCCAGCAAACATGAGACCTTTGAATCTCCAGACATGCCCCTCGGGACTCTCCCTCCCCAGATCCTAAGCCATCCCTCCATGGAAACCCCAAACCATGGAGCCACATGGGGACAGACACAGCTGTGACATGGCCGTGACACCTGTGTGGCATCTCAGGCCTGGGGCACAGGGTTGGCCACAGGGTACATGTGGGACACATGTGGGGACATGAGACCCACCCAGGGACATGCATGGGGGCTTGTACATGGCTGTGACACATGCCACATGGCTGTGACACGTGTGACACGCGTGTCACCTCGGGGCGGTGCAGCAGGAAGGCCACGGCCCAGCCCAGCGCGGCTGCTGTGGTCTCGGTGCCCCCAATGAACAGGTCAACCAGTGCCATGTGCAGCCGGGGGGGGCTCAGGGGAGCCCCCTGCGCTCCGGGATGACGCCCCAGCAACGCCCCCAACACGGTGTCCGATGGGGGGGAGGGACACTCCTGGGAAAGGGGGACACGTGTTGGGGGTGTTCCCCTGACCCCCCCAAACACAGGGGTCCCTCCCAAAACCCTGGGTCCTCCCAAACCCCTGGTTCCCCCCGAACCCCTGGTGCTTCTCCAAGACCCCCCAAGTCCCCCTAATCCGCAGGGTCCCCCCAAACATGCAGGTCCTCCCAAAACCCTGGGAACCCCCAGACCCACAGGTATAATCCAAAACCCTGGGACTCCCAAACCCCTGGTTTCCCCTCCCCAACACCTTGTTCCCACAAAACCCCTCCTGATCCCTGGTTGCCCCCACCTGGTGCCGCCGGATCTGGGCCTCCACGAAGGCATCACGGTGCTGGACAAGCCGCAGCAGCTTCCGCAGCCCCGGGTTGGGTAGGGCCTGGGCACAGGGACCCCAGAGAGACCCCCTGACCTCTGAGAGACACTCCCTCCCCAAGATGCCACATAACTCCCCTCAGCTCCAGAGAAACCCTATGCCTGGTCCCCTGGGCCGTATAGACCCTATGGATGCCTCTCCAACCATATAGACTAACCTGAGTTCCTATAGGCACCCCCAGCTCCACAGAGACAGAGACCCTTCACCCCACACACATCCTCCATATAGACCACCCCAGGCCCATAGAGTCCCCATAACTGCCCCTCCCAGACTCACAAGCTCCACACCACCATTTAGACCCTGTAACACCCCCCCCCAGCTCCACAGAGACACTATAACACCCCTCCCAGCCCCACATTCCTTCACCCAGCCCCACATCCCCCCCAGCCCCATAGAGACCCTAGAATACCCCTCCCAGGGCCATACAGCCTCTCCTCAGCCCCATACAGACCACCAAAGCCCCATATGGATCCTATATGTCCCCTGCCAGCCCCACATACCCTCCCCAAGCCCCATACAGATCCTTGACACCCCTCAGCCCCATAGCCCACTTTGGGCCCCTTCCTTCTCCAGGACCCTATGGCCCCCCAGGGGCCCCCATAGAGCCCCATAGCCCCCCCCACTGCTCCCATAGGGCTCTTTAGCCTCCTCCAGGCCCCAGAGATCCTCACAGTGTCCCCACAGCCCCCCCCCCAGCCCAGCTCACCCGTAGTGGGGGCAGCAGGTCAAGAGCCTGCACACTGCTGTACCCCCAAACCTGCAGCAGCTCCCCCAGGCAGCAGGAGAAGGCCCGGAGTTCCCCTGGGGGGGGCACCTGGGAGAGGACACACCTGGGTACTCCTCAGTACCCCTGGCTCCCCCCTGGCTCCCCCCAGAACACCCCAAACATAGCTCCAGACACTTGGGTCCCCTCAAACTCCTGGTGCCGCCAAACTCCTGACAGCCCCCCCAAACACCTGGGTGTCCCCTTCACAAACTTCTGGATCCCCCCAAACTCCCGGGCCTCCCCTGAACCTCCGGGCCCCCCAAACACCTGGGTACTCCAGGGGACCCTCCAAAACCCTGGGTCCCCCCAGCCCCAAACCCCTGGGCCCCTGTGAAAACCCGGGTCCCCCTCAAACCCTGCCCCCATCTCAGGGACCCACAGTCCCCACCAGGTCCCCGAAGAGAAGGCGTGCGATGGTGCTGCAGGTGTGGAACGTGAACACCTCAAAAGGGTCCAGGGGGGCCCCCCCATGGGAATGCAGCTCCTGAGGGAAAGTGGGGGTCAGGGGAGGTCCTTGGGAGTGCTCAGGGAGGGTTACTGGGGAGCTATAACAGGGATCTGAGGTGTCCCAGGAGGGTATTGGTGGGCTCTAAGGGTGGCTTGGGGGGTCCCAGGGGAAAAGTGGGGGGCTCTAAGGGGAATTTGTGGAATCCTGGGGGGGGGAATTGGGGTGCAGAACATGAAGGCTGGGTGCAGGCAGCAGAGTTTGGGGGTCAGTTTTCGGGTGCAGGGGGCACAGTTACGGTGCACGTGCGGGGTTTGGGTGCAGTGAGTGGGGTTTAAGGTATCAGTTTTGGGCAGGGTTTTCCTGGTCAGTTTTGCATGGGGATCTGTTTCTGGATGCAGGGGGTTATCGCTTTCAGGGGGCTCAGATTCAGAAGGGTTACTTTTGGGGCAGGGTCAGTTTTAGGGGTGTCAGTTTTGGGGTCCCACCTCACACAGCTCCCGGCCCTGCAGCCAAAGGAGGGGCCCGAGCTGTGCCCCAGCCCGTGCCAGCGCCCCCCGCACCGCTCCCCGCTGCTGCCGCCAGCCGGGACACGGGGCCCCCAGTGCCAGGTCCTGCCCCCTCTGCGACACCAGCGACCCTGGGGTAGGCACAGCGGTCAGGGACCCCCAGAGACACCCCAGCACCCAAAGGCACCCCCCTCCATTGCACCAAGGGTACCCTGCAGGGCCACGCTCTCCCACAGAACCCGCTTTAAGCCCACAGCCCCACCCATAGGCCCCCCATCATTCCCACCAGCGACCCTAGGGGGGATGAAGGGGGTGTCTGGGAGGGGCAAGGACCCCCAGAGACCCCTCCAACCCCCATAGGCACTCCACTTGGATCAGGGGTATCCCAGGACCCCCAGAACTGCCAGCATGCACATCCCCAACTCCACAGTGACCCCTCCAATGCCATAGGGAGCCCCCCAAACCTTATAAGCCCCCTCCACCCCATAGGGGCCTCCCAAACCCCATAGGGATACTCTCAGTTCCCATCGAAACTCCCCAAACCCCCCAGGAACCCCTCCAAACACCCCACAGACCACCCAGCTCTCCCCACACCCCATACCCAGGTAACTGGGGGGGCGCCCCAGCCAGTCCCCACAGTGCCGGACCAGCGCCTCCCGTATGATCCCCACCGAACTCAGCACCAGCACGTCTGGGGGCAACAGGAGGGGCTGGGGGGGACCCCAAAACTGGGGGGGGGGGATCCCAAACCAGGGGGGGAAGCCCTGGGATGGGATTGGGGGGGGAGGGGGTCCCAG